AAGAGATGAGGCAAGAAGAGAACTCCAGAACTGGTCTAAGGAGCGTTTGTCTGTTCATGCTATTAAAGGAAACGACAGTGCATGCAGGGCCATGACTGGCTCAGCTGGTCAGTTTTTGACTGTCTTCGCCGATATTTAGTTCAGTTCATCAAATCATCACCAAAAGGTTTTAGATTGTCTACCCAGGACCAGCTCTTCCTTTGCTTGCTCAAGCTACGCCAAAATCCATCGATTGCTTTGCTGAGCCAAATACTACACAAGCCAGAACCCACCGTCCGCCACATATTCCAACGTTGGCTGAATCTTTTGTAATCGAAAATCACTTTCCTCATTCACTGGCCTGACAGGGAGTGCATCACCCAAACCATACCACCAGTGATGAAGGCCAACTTTCCGCGCCTCACATCAATTATAGATTGCTTCGAGATCAGAATTGAAAATCCAAAAGCCCTTAAAGAGCCTGTGACACGAGTTTCCCCCATCATCCAAACCCATCAATTTGAGTAAATATTGTCCCCTTGAAAACCGTTACTGAACTGATTTTGGATATTTGTACTTTGATAACCATTAATCTGCCCTTCAATGTTGACCATTTTCTGGATCTTCTCGGGGATTCTTCAAGTCCCGCCAAATGATGTGTGACGTCATTGCGGGCACAGCGCTCCAGCTACACCGTTCAGGATCCAAGCATCTGCATGTAAACGCACTATGGCGCACACAGCAGCAAGCTCAGACAGTTTAATTTTGAACGTGTCTGAGAGCTCATATGAGGCTGAAGGATCGCTTTATGTTGTATCTGTTAGAAGTTTAGGAATTAGGTGCGTCAATATGGGCGATAATACGGTCATGTAGCCAGTGGTGGACTGGGACTAAAAATCATCCCGGGACTCTCGACCGGCCCACTTCGGTACCGCTAGTAAATTGTCAACGGGGGGAGTGGGGGATGTCAGGGGCGGCGGGTGCTGTAGATAGTAAATGTTAAATATGTAAATATTTGTGTCACTGCATCCTGGTAAAATACAAATATAATGCAATGTCTGTGTCTTTGACATTAGCGCTGCTAGCCACCTGTGCCCTGTACTACGAAGCCAGTTCAACATACCCTGGATATGTTTGAGTAACAAACTAACTAACAACAACAAACTAACAAACGAGATCTCGCTAAGCGGTCCTACGACGCTGGTTATCAACTCGGTAAATCAAGCCAGGGTTTCTCTCACCAGCTGAGAGCGCGTTCACGTCTAAGACACGAGTGGATCTGACTTTAATTACATTTGACTCGAGTGTTTCGTCAACATAATGTGTTGCTTAAAATAATACTTCTGCATACAGTATGTGACACTATAAGTGTTGCACGGCCAGATACGGCTGGAGAAGCTGACTCAGATAAGGAAATATATGATATATTATGATATTATATGATCGATGTTCTGATTGATGATGTAATATGAATGATAAGTGCGACACGTCGGCGTCTTCTCTACATACGGCAGTTTAAACTGTATTTCCTTTATCCTGTAATATGACTTGAGAGATTTAAACTCCGCACACTAAGTTGATCTCTTTTCTATAGACGCCGGAGGCGTAAAAAAAGTTATTTAGCCTTCCCAAACCTGAGCCTCACGCGCCGCCTATGGGGGATGTGCTAGTGATTTATCCGACCGGCCCACTTCGGTACCGGCCCATCGGGATTCGTCCCAATGGCCAGTCCGCCACTGCACCCAGCCCACGTAAACTGTCAACGGGGGGAGCCTCGCTGCGGGGAAACGGTGGACCTAGTGTCCCGATCGGAGTGGGAATAATAATAATAATAATCCGTGCATTTTATCCATTAATTTCCCCAACATTGTGGTGAAAAAACCACACTTTAATCCATGTTGGTGTACTACAACTACAAAAAGCATCGGTTTGTTTTCTCATCAGGAAATGCAGACCGGCACAAACAAACGATTTTTAATCATCATTCTCACGATCATTTAATCTATCATATGTTCGCCGAATTGACATGAAAGCACTAATAAATGTAGTTTCATCCACTTGAGTTTACAACTACAAAAATAATCGATTTGTTTTTATATCACATCCTACGGGAGGAAATTCAGTAGCTCTCACTACCGATTTTTAATCCTAATGTAATCATCATCTTCACCACGATCATTTATGTTTATGTTCGCCGAATTGACATGAAAGCACTGACAAATATGAATATACTGTAGTCAACTTCGTTAAAACGTTATTAACGTGCCTAAACTCAGTAATTCACCATTTCTACGCATGACAACACACTTTGTCCGTGTTTGGCTCTCTCGCCGCACAGTGAAGCGTTCCCGCATTGACGTCACTTCCGGCTTCCCCCAAAACTTAAAAATGAGTCGAAGGAATTTCCCCGCGATGTTCGAAATTATTGATATTTAACGGAACGGTATCGCTTTTTCTTTTTTAAACTGACGGTTCGAGATTACTAGTAGCCCAATATTTCATTGCACAACAGTTGTTGGGATGTTGTCACAGGCTCTTTAAAGCCACACTGTAAAATGTTTGGCTGTAAAATTACAGTAAATTACTGGCTACTAGTTGCATGGATTTCACAGTAATTGACTGTAAATATTTCACAGTAATTGCCTGTAAATATTTCACAGTAATTGACTGTAGATATTTTACAGTAAATTAGAATAAAAGTACAACTAAATACTGTGACTTTACAGTTGCCATGCCCATGGAATTACTGTGATATAGCAGTACAGAGCTGTGGTATTATGGTACCTTGCTGTACATAAATTACAGTAATTACTTGTATTTTGACACTTTTACTGTAGAAGTAATGCAATACATTAGCCAGTAATTTACTGTAAATATAAAAATGTATATAATACGATATTATATTGTAAATCTGACTAGTTAACTGGGATTTTACCACAATTCAATCAACAAAGAAAAACAAAGAAAATGCCCATTTTAACTTTGTATTACTCTATTGAAGTGCAAAGTACATTTCACAGTGTCTTGGACTAGTTGTTACAGTCCCAACCTATACGCCGCGGTAGTGGCTCGTGCTGAGACCCGCAACATGAAAGAATACACGCAATAACCGGTACTTGGTAACGACCATTTATTGATAATCAGCCATTTGCTCACACAAGCGAAACGGGAAACAAAAAGAGGTCTGGAGGACTGGCCAAAAGGAACAAACAGAAGGAGGGAACCCGAGCCAGCCACACCACGGGCCGTAGGACCAAGAGCTTCCCCCCCCTAACCAGAAATCAATTATAAACCCTATGGGAAACAAAATAAAGCCGCGAAAACTGGACTACCAGGTCCTCCAGGCTAAACATAAACACATCTGTAAAAATATGGCCTACAGCTCAAAATGGCAAAGAGGTATTCTAAGGAGAGTGTCTCCCGGCGTTAGGGTAGGCGAGACATCCTTCTCCTCCAGCTTCTCTTTATATACACGGCTGAGTGGAATTTGGAACACCTGGGCAGAGGCAGAGCCAGGGACAGATCAGGTGCACCTGGGCAGAGGCGGAGCCAGGGGCAGACCAGGTGCACCTGGGCAGAGGCCGAGCCAGGGGCAGACCAGGTGCACCTGGGCAGAGGCGGAGCCAGGGGCAGACCAGGTGCACCTGCGCAGCAGGCAGACAGAAAAGAAAACAAGGAGGGGAGCACATGTCTACACAGACATCCACTCGAAGTCAACAATTTTCTGAAGAATGTGCTGACATGGGGGTTTAAATTGCCGTGCCTCTTTTTGGCTTTCGAGCCCGTCTCAGGTTAATGCCCAGGAAGCACCTGAAAACAATAAGCCAAGACAACAATTTCAATGTTACATAGATGTATATGTTGCATAGTTTTTTTTAAGGCACATGCAGCGGTGCCCCTTTCAATTTAAGTCAAACCTGCACCAAAGAAAGAAATTAGTGTTTAAAGCCAAGCAAGAAAATCACTTAATTTGTTGTGTTATCACAGAGGATGGTCTGAATACAGTATTTTACTGTGAAATAATACAGTAACATGTTGTGCAATCCTGGTAATCATGTATCCTGTACATTCACAGTAATTAACTGTGCCTGCATTGATTTCACTGTGAAATTCAAAATGACAGTATTATATCGTGAACATTACAGGTAAAGACTGTAAAGTGGTAAAACAGTAATTTATTGTAAAATATTACAGCTAAATATTGTGGAATCATGGTAATATTTTACAGTGCAGGTAAAGGTGCCAATATTTATGATTTAGCCAGGTAGCTTTGACAGTGTTTGTACACAGGTCTGAATAAGTAATACGAATGAGTTTGATAATTTACAGGTCTTGTTTTTTAAATGTATGCTCAGATAGAGGGATGCTCATTGTACCCAGCCGCTGCATGCATCATATCAAATATTAAATGTATTATTGAAAACAAATAAAGGTCCATTAAAGGTTTGAAATCTTAAACTTGAAAATGAGTCCCCTCTTCACCCCTCTACCACCATCCTGGTGACCAGGTAATGTTTCATCTTACATAAAGTGCACATACTCTACAGTAACAGTTAATCACATGCATTTTTTTGGTAATCATTATGGACAAGTGTTGTTATATACTGTTTGACTGCAAACATTAAAAGCAAAAGGCCTACATATCTTATGCATTACTTGTTTTAGATCTTGGCTGATCAGGGTTTTACTCTGAAAGATGAGTTTGCCTTACTTGGTGCCAGTCTCGAAACCCCAGCCCCAAGAGTCAAGAATGAAATCAACATTTCGGATTCATATTGGTAAGTATATATTCATTATCCACAGACTGGTAAACTATTGCACATATCGATATGATGGAAAATAAATTAACTCTTTTACTAAATTAAGTTATATAAAAAACAGCACTAACGGAGTGTAGCAAATTGTATAACAGTGCAAACAAAGTACTTAACAAACGATTACTCAGAACAATGGTAAAATGTGAAGTTTTATACTTGAAAATATTTTTAAAACAACTGATGGGTGAACAGAACGGGTCATCGGTGTGCTGAAGCGAAGATTCCACATCCTGGATGGGCCGCTCCCTGTTTGCTTCGTAAAGACCCTGCGGGACGAGATGGAGAACAGGGATGTAGCCACCATTGACAAGATAGTACATACCTGTCATACTTGGTCAACATGTCAGGTAGCATTGTGTTCAATACAAACAGACAGGGGGATGTATAGGTCAAATCAGTCCTGCTGTATTTTCTCTTTGAGTCACTTAGTTTGGGCCATGGCAGCAAAATAACAACTCTTCAATGACTATCCTTCAGCTTTTTAAATCTACCTTACTGCTCTGCTCTCCTTCCAGGAATGACAGTTGACACCACGTAATTATTCTGTAAATATAAACTATGTATTAGGAATTGTCTTAGCTAGTATTAACCTAACAGCCACCTAACAACAAATGCTCGCAAATGTTAATGAACTATAATTATAAATAGTTGTTTAGGTTTTGTGTTTTACCTGAAGCTCCTGTTCTGTGTCTGACACAGCACTGTCTGTTGACTCCTGAAATTGTTATACATAATTTGTGATTATTTGTATTGTTTCATAATATTTGTGTGCCATGTATTACATAGTATAAAGATATAACAGACAGTGTATTTGCAGTCTCTAAGGAAAATATTTTATACCTGAAGCTCCAGCTCTGTATCTGGGATTGTGGTTCCCGCCAGCTGTGGGTAGATGTGCCTGGCCCAAAAACGGCTAATGGTGTCCACTGCCTGACCCTGAAAATCTTCATCTTGTTGGACACGGAAGATAACGGTTTGCTTTGGCGTCCAGGTGATGAAGTCTGCATAGGTTGTTTTGCACACAAACATCTGCATCTGCACCTGTAAAAAAAAGAGGAAGAAAAAGTACAGCATAGACTCCAACTACTTACCTGCAATTAAGAAAACACAGATAATACAATTCCTTATGAGTTGTTATTTATTGTATTACCTGGATGTAGTAGCTGTGGTTGGTCCTCAGCGACAACAACGTGTCCAGATGTCCTCTCTTGTCTGCTGGCCAGTGATCAGCTGACAAATCACTATTCCACTTCAAGGGGCACTTTACTTCAACCACCCCCTTTCCACAGCAAACGCAGTGTACATAAGCATCACAGCTTACACCAATGTAGGGCTTCTCTCTGTACACTCGGAAGCCTGCCCGTTGAATACTGATGCTTGTGTGGGGTTTATATATGTCACTGGAGATGTTAATTAAAGTGGGTGCTGTATATGCCGTTGTAAGGCCCAGTGCATACTTGTATGTCTCAATTGCATCCTCTTCATGTTCCCTACCCCAAATGATGCCTGGTGTTTTCAGCGGATTTTTGCGTGACTCTTTCTGCACAATATCCCTCAGCAGTGATTTTGATGGTTTCTCAAGAGATGTGTGGATAACTCTGTGTGCTGATGTACCTGTCACCTTCCCAACCATCTGCTGGTGCCAAGATGAACATTCTGCCTGGTCTTTTGTCTCTTCCTCTATTGCCTGTACCTGATCATCTGAAAATTCTGACAGATGTTGGTACCAAGGCTTTGGTTTGAAAGGGTCTGCAAAAGCCTTGAAAGTGCTCAGACCAACAGGCAGTTCTCCAGAGGCAGACAGCATTTCCAAGAACTGTTGTTTATTTTCTTCATTCGCCATTGGAATGACCATGCAGTTTGTTCCTGTGTCCCTTTTGTTGGCTTTGTCTCCATAGAAGTCTATATTGATGACCATGTCTGCCTCAACTTTTTTCGTGCAGACTTTATTCCAGGCACAGGCGATGCTGGTTGTATACTTGTATATCCAAGGCGAACTGATGCCTCCAACTTAAAAAGCAGGGCTCCGACATGGGAACAATTTTCTCCTAGTCTAGAGTAAAACATATATTTTTTAAATAAATACTTTTTCGCCAAATAACAAAAGCATATCTTCCCTTCTGAAGGATTACATAGGTGGCATTGTGACTGTACTATTAGTGTTATGAAGTCAGCTTACCCTGCCATGCAATCACAGTGAGCAGCTGTGACCTCTCCAGTATTGTTAACAGCAACCCAGGTGTTGTGGGGTTTATCTGTAACTCTCCATGATGGCTTTACATGGGTCTTGAAGACTGTTGTGTCAGCACAGAGTTTGTGGTGAAGAACCACATCCACCCAGCCACTGGTAAAAAAGGTATGTGCTTCCAGAGACCTGAAGTTCTTCATTGAACTTGCTGTGTAAATCCCTAGAGGACAAGTTAGCAGACACAAATCTCTAAACCAGAGGGACAAAAAGTACTTATTGGTTTAAATCCAGACAACGGCCAATCATAAAAGAGGAAGGGTGTAACCAATTAGATTTGGCGTTACTGGGACACGGTACGACCACTTCCTAACATTTCTCCGCGAGTGAGAGCAGGCCAGAGTTTCATGAGCAGAAGAGCAGGAATTGCTCGCGAGAGCGCAGGAGAGCAAGGAGAGCTCATGTAGATGCTGCACATGCTCAAGGCATGTTTCTCCCCTGCAGGCTTCAATATTGCTCTCGCAAACATCCAATCACAGAGCTTGAGGACTATCATGGGGTTTGTCAAGCGAAGCGGAGAGAATTCTTACTTCCGGGTGTACAATTCTCTAAAGCAAATGAGCTGCTCCGACCCTCGGTCCTGACGGACTCCAACTTGTGTTTATTAATCAAACAAATAAATAAACACAAGGATAATTATGTGTTATTGTTGAGTAAATGGAGAATTGCACAGGGGAAAATAACGTATGCCAGAATTTTAGATGTGGATTATGTTAAACTAATATGTTTGCGCTGTGGACCAACACTATACATTGACGGGGAAGGGGGTAGCAATAAAGATAACACCATTAAACAGTTACACAACATAACAGAAATAATATCGATAGCAGCGTCCCTAGCAACCACCTTGGTAACAATGAAAATGTTGAATGGACACAATTTACTGAAGTAATCTTCGTAATAACTAGCAAACTAAAGATCATGTACATCCACTGCACACATAATCTGAAATAACAACTCATATTTCTCGCATCAAATGACATCAAAACACATTTTAAAGCCAAACTAACTGTTACACTCCTCGTAAAGAGACTCAAAACTTGAACCCGCTATGCAAGAACACTTGGGACGGAGACTTAGGTGAAGTGTCAAAAAGACTGGATTTATTTAAGTCCTCAAAAAACAGGCAGGAGACATTGTAAACTCTCAACAGAGTGGGAAGAACGTGGAGCAGGGCTGAGACGGAGGTTGGGCTGGACGTGGCAGGCAGGACGGAATGGAATATGGAGTTTCTGGAACAGGCACAAAACAGAACAGGATTAGTATATGAAAACATACAACTGGAAGAGTATACAAAAAGACTAGCAATTCTAGTCAGCCAGAACTGGAGTTTACCACTGTGAGTATACGAAGAACTGGCGAAGTCTGATGATCGAACCGGAGTTTTAAGCAGCAGCAGGTGAGTAGTGGTAATCAGTGATGATGATAAACAGGAGCGGAGGTGAGTTGGCGGGAAACGGAAAGTAGGTCAACCACGCCCAGCCAGGAAGACAGACAAACAGAAAAAAGGAGAAGGAGATACTGCAATTCCTCACAGTACCCCCCCCCCCCTCAATGGGAGCCACCTGGCGACCACCAGGCTTGTTTGGATGAGCCCTGTGAAAGGCCCTCACCATGATTGGGTCCAGGACACGGGAACGAGGAACCCAGCATCGCTCCTCGAGGCCATAACCCTCCCAGTCCACCAGATACTGGAAACCCCTGCCCCGACGTCTGACGTCCAAAAGACGGTGCACCGTATAAGCAGGGTGATTGTCGAGGATACGGGCGGAAGGAGGGGGTAAGGCCGGAGGGCTCAATTCACTGGTGTGAACCTGCTTAATCTGAGACACGTGGAAAGTGGGGTGAATTCTCAGAGCTCTGGGAAGCTTTAACCGAACCGCGGAAGGGTTAATGATCCTTAGGATGGGAAAAGGACCAATGAAGCGTGGGGAAAGCTTCTTGGACTCAGAGATGAGAGAAATGTTGCGGGAGGACAACCAGACTGACTGGCCTGGGACGTATAGAGGAGCTGCCTTTCTGTGACGGTTGGCTGATCGCTGGTTCCGTGCCGAAGTCTGGAGAAGGGCAGATCGTGTATCTCTCCAGATTTTCTGACAACGACGCACATGCTGCTGGACTGAGGGAACTGCTAAGTCTCGCTCCTCTTCGGGGAACAGGGGCAGCTGGTACCCTAATGAAGCCTCAAAGGGGGAGAGACCAATAGCGGAGCAGGTGAGTGCGTTGTGGGAGTACTCAACCCAGGAGAGATGAGAGCTCCAAGTAGAGGGGTTTGGGTCGGTGATGCAGCGGAGAGCTGACTCCAGGTCCTGATTAGTTCGTTCTGTTTAACCGTTTGATTGGGGGTGATATCCAGGCTGACTGAGGCTCCTAGGGATTGACAAAACTCCCTCCAAACTCGAGAGGTGAACTGAGGACCGCGGTCTGAGACAATGTCGGCAGGTTTTAAATTCTTGGAGCCAGGGCGGAAGGTGAGGCAAAAGTCGAAGCGACAGAAGAACAGAGCCCATCTGGCCTGTCGGGAATTCAGTCGCTTCGCCGACTGGATGTAGGAGAGATTCTTGTGGTCCGTCCAGACCAGGAAAGACTGCTTGCTGCCTTCGAGCCAGTGTCTCCACTCCTCTAGTGCCAACTTAACAGCCAGAAGCTCCCTGTTACCAACATCATAATTGCGCTCCGCAGGAGAGAGGCGACGTGAAAAAAAAGCACAGGGATGGAGGATGTTATCAGGACCAGCCGTCTGAGACAAAACTGCTCCTACTCCAGTATCAGATGCGTCCACCTCCACAACAAACTGCTTCTCTGTGTCTGGCTGAATAAGGATGGGAGCTGAGGTGAACAAGGACTTTTGTTTGATGAAAGCTCTGTTAGCCTCTGGAGTCCAACAGAACGTGATGTTGACGGAGGGGAGTCTAGAGAGAGGTGCAGCTACCTTACTGAAGTTCCGGATGAAGCGACGGTAAAAGTTGGCAAATCCCAGAAACCTCTGGAGCTCCCTCCTTGTAGTTGGGACTGGCCACTCCACCACTGCCTTGATCTTTCCAGGGTCTGCCTCCACCTTGCCCTGGCTGATGATGTAGCCCAGGAAGCTGATCCGGTTCTGGTGGAACTCGCACTTCTCTACCTTAACATAGAGCTTGTTCTCCAGCAGTCTCTGTAGGACCCTGCGGACATGGTTCTCGTGTTCCTCCTGATTCCTGGAGAAAATCAGGATGTCGTCTAAGTAGACAAAGACAAAGCGGTTAAGGAAGTCACGCAAGACATCATTGATCATAGCCTGGAAAACTGCTGGGGCGTTAGTGAGACCAAAAGGCATGACCAGATATTCAAAATGGCCCAATGGAGTGTTAAACGCTGTCTTCCATTCATCCCCCTGGCGGATGCGGATCAGATGATAGGCGTTTCGAAGGTCAAGCTTGGTGAACAGGGTTGCCTCTTGGAGAGGTTCAAAAGCTGAGGTGAGAAGGGGTAATGGGTACTTGTTCTTGACCGTGATATTGTTTAACCCCCGAAAGTCTATGCAAGGTCGTAGCGACTTATCCTTCTTGCCTACAAAGAAGAACCCGGCACCCACAGGAGAAGAGGAGGGACGAATAATACCAGCAGCCACAGAGTCCGTGATATAAAGCTCCATAGCCTCCCTCTCAGGACGGGACAGATTGTAGAGGCGGCTGGAGGGTAGAGGAGCTC